GGTATCAAAGAAGTGAATTCCGGAATAAAAATTTGTTCACGTCATTTTAATGCACATGATTATATTTCAGCAAGTATTTACCATCAGCCATAACCTTAATATTTAAAACTAGAATCATACTAAAATTATAAAGTGAGTTATTATTTATTCCTGTGTAATTGATTTAACACAATTCTAATGATACGATATAAGTATTTTGAGGTTAAGAACCTACCTGCTGCAATACAACAAAGTTGCAATGTGTTTGCAACGTTCTCTTAAATCGGCTTTGCACGTGCAAGTCATTGATATGATATTGCTTAAATCATCCAAAATCACCTCACCAATTATATAACGTGAATCACTTTTTAAATCCGAAGTTTGTAAAAAGTAGGCGGCAAACTTGATGGAATTTGAAGGCCAGCTTCCGGATTTGTTATTTCCGAATTTTATAATGTGATTGGCATTAAAAACACGCTCACCTTCAACGAAATTTCCTTTCCGAGGCTTTGTGTTAGCCCAATCACATATTGTGTCAATACTTATCATTTTATCGTAATTTAAAAACTTGGAAATTGCACGGTACACTATAGGAACTACGATAAATTTTCCCTAATCGGCGCCATGTTTTTAGGCTCCTCGCATTTGACGGATCCCAATACGGCCCGCGGGCCGCCAGTTGGACTGCCCTGTTTTAGATCAATAAAAATAGGTATTCAAATTAAGTGGATAAGTTAAGCTGGCGCGCGCGACGTACCTGACACCCCGGGCAGCCGCCCAGGTCGCCCCCCACTGACGATTACATGAATATTTCTACGTTCGGTCCTCAATTCGCCGCTAGTGTATATGCACATTTATAGTTCGCTCGATTTTCTTTCTTCTTTTGCTTTTTCCTTTATTTTATACGTCCGTGTTCTGCGAGTTACTGTGGAGCAGACGGAAAACTTTAGAACGGTCGTCGATTACACGACTCGATTCAATTTTCCTTGCGTTGCCGGCGAGTTAAAGCTGATTCGGGATTTCCTCTCGGATCAGTTATTTGCCGGAGAAACGTTTGAAATAATTTTTACTACATCTGAAAGCAACTAAGACGAGCAAAAAATGAGGTGATGTTGCAAAAAGGATAAAACTGAAGTCGACTAAAAATAGCAAAACTTGGGAACGACTGACGTAAAATTAACGAAGTAGTTAAAACCTAAACGGTCGCTCGAAGCTTCGAATTAATTAAAAATGTCAACCCCGCTCATGCCCTGGAATGTCTGAGGGAGGAAATCACTTGACATTCCCAGCAAGGAAATGTTATAATGAAAATTAACTTATTTATCCTACCCTTAGATTAGATGTCACACGCGAAAGAAGTTTAATTTATTTATCTATTGATTTTAATCTTTTAAAGAAATACAAACCTAATAGACAAAAAATATTCATTTTCTTAATACACAGTTTCTCAAATACCAAAAATGCCACATTTCTTGTCTGCAATGTTATATACAGTCGAATCTGTAAGCGAGGAAACTCTATTAATGAGAGTATTTGCCGGGTCCCGTCATTTTGCCCTTCTAAAGCCTCTATAAGTGAGAAACATAAAACCTGTATAAGTGACAGTCATTTTTCATGCGTGAACCTCTTCAAGTGAGATTGCTACTTGTCTATACCTCTATAAGCTGCAGTTTACTTTTGCTATTTTATGACTCGTTCTTAAATTTCAGGAGACTCTTATTTCATTCGAATGACCAAATCTGCGAATGACCGAGTAAGTCTNAAGTAAAGTACTAAGAAAATCCTAAAACAATTTCTTATTCAACTTAGATCACCTTTTTGGTAAGTTTACGTACAAACACTCGCAAAATGGTAACACATCTTGGCAATACATACCTCAATTACCAGATGATGCTCATTTACTGATTAATGTTTACGTAATTTACAATTTTTTCTTTCTTTTACATTTACATGGTGGTGCTTGTAATATACTTATTTAATTTATTTAGCCTCAACATTATGTATAGGTACTATTAAATTGTTTATATTTATTTGTTTATCTTAGACGTTTGATATTCGGAAATGTTTACTTCTCCATCCATGTAGCTGCAGAGTATTAATCCCACTACACTATTCATATTAGATACCTATGTTGCCATTTTCGCATCGTAAATTATTGATTTTCTAAAAAAAGTTGCCTTTAACCACACTGCTAAACTCACTGTACGACTGCATATTGCATCCTCCAAAGCTCGGCATTCATTTCTGTTACACCTTGTATAACACAAAGATACATCCTTCTTGGCTAGGCAAAAGAAAAGAGTTAAAGTTTACATGTATTATGCGTACATATATCATCAGTATTTTCTTATGACGTTGTCACCTTCAACTATCGTCAGTAAACCGACTTTACAGACAATCGTTTTTTTTTTATATAAATTGACTGGTTGCGATGGCTAGTAAAATTAACTGCAACTAGTTGTAGTACCACTAATGCATTTTCTTGCTAAAATATATATAATAAAATGCGACAGTAATACTGACAAATAAGATACGTATATAGAACGATTCAGAACATTAAAATAAAATACTAACGAATTACCTATACATCAAAGTAATAAAAACTAAAATTCAATATCCATACTGAAATTAAGAAAACAAAAAGGAACTTACCTTCGTAGAAAGCCTTGAGATTGAAAGAACTCTGAAAGATAAAGGGAAAAAAATTAATAATCAAATGCAATTAATCTTGATGTTTTCTTTACCTACGTTCACTACGTAAACTAAAGTAATCCATATATTATCTACCTCGAACACTATTAGCACTTTATCAAATTTGTGCATCTTTCTCTTTATTTAAACAGTTTCTAGAGTTTTTCTCTCTTATTATTATACTACTGATTGTCACTATAGTAAATACTTTAAAAAAACGGACAGACAGACACACGAGTGAGTTATGTGTGCGTGTGTGTTTTTACTGGTGCGATAATTAAGTATTTAGGGTAGGGCTATTGACGAACCATCGATTAAAAAAAGGTAACGCACCTTTAACAATACCTCAATGGTGGCTTGGAATTTTCCCTTACAATTAAAAAAATTATGATTATTTATTCAGGAAATATTACAAAGATTACATTAACGTTAATTTTTTCTTTTTTTGTGTTCTTAATACCACGTCGAGGTACTTTAAGAGTGCTACATACTTTCAGCAACGCGTATAGTTGTTTTTTAATTAATTTTTATCTCACTGGACGTCTCGACAATATTATGTGTAATAGAGTAGTTGTAAACTGTGCATACTTAGTTTATTAGTCGTTCCACAATCGGAACGAACGTAAATGTTACCACAATTTCTCTGTACGTTGCCAATTCACGCCCAGGGCCGGCTTCGAATTATAACTTCTATTTTTCTCACAAGTTCCTTTGTCCACGATGCTTTACTCACTATGAGATTCCTTAACGCCCTCCAATGCTCACCACTTATTTTAGAAACACCCTTCATTGTAAATATAGTATCAAAAATACCCTAAATTTAAAATGCAATATGTAACAATTCCGCTGAACGCTTAGTTAGGCGTATTTTAAATAAGCAATTGTTTAAAACTACTGTTACGAAATATAAAGTACCTAGCGAGTTATACGTACTGTCTTCCACGTAAATCGTATCTTCAATAAACTGCCTATCTGCTCTATAAATATAGGTAGGTTTACGTAAACTGGCTACAAAAAAAATCTATAACTAAATCCCACCAGAGAATGATATTTTATTTCAGCCATACGTGGGAGGAGACAAATTAGTCTAAATTGCCTGTTATAAGAAACAAGAAATCTACCTACTTATAACTTTTTAAAGTATAGAATAAAAATCGAAATTGCGTACCCAAAACGAAACTTTTACGAAGATAAAGAATAATACGAGTACTATAAGAAAGTACAAAAAATTGTAGTCTAGTCTGCAATTTGCTTGCTTTATTATATTAGTTTCTAAAGTAGGAAAATTACATATTATTTAGGATACTTCAATATTAAGACCATTCATGCTTGTAAGTATATATGTTAATGGAAACTCGATAACAATGAAAAATAAGTATACCGATATGTTACAGTAAACTCCATAAACCTTAAAATACCCTAAAAATGAATATTTGCAGATGCCAAAAACAGCATCAGACCACGAACTTAATAATCTGTTAGGTATTGTAGCGAGCACGAGTGTGTTTGTGTGCGATCGGGCACACGTGTGCGTGACCGGCTTATCGATTCGCCGACTAGCGGCGGGCACCATTCTTCATGTGTGTGTAGTACCTGCGTTCTGGGAAAGCAGTTAAACAGTTCAAATAAAAAACAAACGATCCGGATGTTTCTAGAGGGTTCCAGAAAGTAAACAAAAGAGTATTTAAATGAAGAGACGATCGTCGAGAGGGGAAACAAATAAACTGACCGTTGCAGAAGTGAATCCAGAAATAAATTAACAGCGATAGCAATGAAATAAATAGCGCAGTGAATAGTGATATATCAACAGTAGTGTAAATAAATACAATAATTCATAACATATGTTTAGTAATAATTTAATAGTGTTTTTAAATTTTTCAATAATTAGTGCAAATAAATAGTTTTTGTCGTTATCAGTATTAGAAGTTAATTTTGTTAAAACCACGAACATTACAGTATTCAGTTTGATAGGTGGATAAACTTAAATAGGAAGGAACTTTATCAAATATTTATGAACCTAAAATTAGTGGTAATACGCTGTATGTAATCATTCCTTCTTGAACAAGCAAGTGGTTGATAGGTGTTCTGTCGCAGCTGATCTGCGGCGTGGCGTACTGATGAGAACGTTCGAAATTACAATTCACGTCTAACAGTTACGACAGACCACTGATCACAAATTGAATGTTCTTAGAGAGATTTGTAGTACTGTTATTTATAAGCATGTTTGCGATAATCTTTACCAACATTTATTATCAATGGGGCATTGGAGTATGCCTGCAGGCACGACCGGTAGGTGGTGGGCAACCTTTGTTTTAGACGCGGAGGGTAATAAGTCATACCCTGAGTGACACATATTTTCTGCATTCCAATAGTTCTAGAATTTTTCGAATAAAATAATGATTGCTCCGGAAAATTCGATAACAATATATATAGGCCTGTAAATGACAGTTGAAGTTAGTATATGGTCAGTTGATCATTAATATAAATGAACAGTGCGAATTGGCGAATGCAGTGATGTAAATATAATGACGATTAAATAAAAATTACATATACCGAGCAATATAAATAAGTAGATTAAGTGTTTAATGGTTTAATCAGTGTTATATCGTAACTGTAAAATAAATGGTCGTTAAATAAATAAAAAATAAATATTAAATAATTTCAAGTAAAGTACTAAGAAAATCCTAAAACAATTTCTTATTCAACTTAGATCACCTTTTTGGTAAGTTTACGTACAAACACTCGCAAAATGGTAACACATCTTGGCAATACATACCTCAATTACCAGATGATGCTCATTTACTGATTAATGTTTACGTAATTTACAATTTTTTCTTTCTTTTACATTTACATGGTGGTGCTTGTAATATACTTATTTAATTTATTTAGCCTCAACATTATGTATAGGTACTATTAAATTGTTTATATTTATTTGTTTATCTTAGACGTTTGATATTCGGAAATGTTTACTTCTCCATCCATGTAGCTGCAGAGTATTAATCCCACTACACTATTCATATTAGATACCTATGTTGCCATTTTCGCATCGTAAATTATTGATTTTCTAAAAAAAGTTGCCTTTAACCACACTGCTAAACTCACTGTACGACTGCATATTGCATCCTCCAAAGCTCGGCATTCATTTCTGTTACACCTTGTATAACACAAAGATACATCCTTCTTGGCTAGGCAAAAGAAAAGAGTTAAAGTTTACATGTATTATGCGTACATATATACACTTGCATGGATTTCTATAATTTACATTTTGTACTGTAAAATAGTCAAAGTTTTCCTTTAAACCTGGTTATTAATATATATATACATATATAGCGATTGTTTCTTTATATGTCTAACCCTACAGTTTGTCGGAGTGCTAAATTTAACGTTAGCTACAGCCGATCGGTCGTTATCAGTATGTTTCATATATGCAAGTACGAATGTACACGTGCTCTTAAATGGAGAGCAATTTTGTTCTTTTCGTTTGTTACAGCCAGGGCCTTCCTTATAACCTGCATCCTTTACAACCGACTGCGGTATATGTCGTTTAGGAAATAGTCCAGTGTTAGAATCATCATCATAAGGTCATCAGTCCTAAGACTGATTGGACATGCATCTCCACTCGTTCCAATCCTGAGCTAATCTTCGCATTTCCCTAAAACTAGAACAACCCACATTCTCAACTATGTTTTTGCAAACAGTAATCTAATCTAGGTCTACCTCTACTCCTCTTAACACCTGTATTTGACTCTAATATGTCTCTAACTAGACCTTCATGCTTGAGAAGGTGTGCTACCAACCTACCTCGCCTATTTCTTAATGACTTCCATAGAGTCAGTCCTCTGTTCTCCTACTCTTTCTAATACCTCTTCATTTCTAACCTTTTCTATCCACGATATTCTCATCATTCGCCGGTAACACCACATTTCGAACGCATCTAACCTTTTATTTTCCGCCGTGCCCAACGTCCATGTTTCGCACCCGTACAGTGCGACGCTCCAAACATACACCTTTAACAAACTTATTCAAATTTCAAAATTAACCGTTCGCGTTCTTTTGATTGAATGCGACTCGACCCTGAGCTATCCTTTACTTTATATCCGTACTACTCCTTCCATCCTAACTTATCTGACTTCTTAGAAGTCTCCTATCTCTATATTCGCTCTTTCTATTACTTTTTCTTCCCTAGTATAGCAGTATTTTTGTTTTACTTTTATTTATTTTAATATAATTCTGTTTTGTCAATACCGCTTCAATATTATTTTATTATCTCTACTAAAAATTTTAATAT